TCACTTTACACTTAATTCTAAAAATTTCTTTCTATGCCTATCCTATTTCCCCTCCCCACAAAGCTCTATAACCACCGGTTTTGCAGGACAAAATGCTAGGAATAGGGGTATATGAGTGGGGCTACATAAGCTACTTTTGCCGTTGTCGATTTAAGTCGCTTGAGGAACTTGAAGAAGCATGCAAAGAATTCTTCAAAGAATTCTTCAAATAAAAGCTGAAGGAATGGTCCCTTAACCAGATTCGGATGCTTACAGATCGGTAGCAGGAAATTTTTGGCAATAATGGACTTTATTTTGCAGAATAGTTGTTTTTTTTTGTTGCTAAAACAGAGGCATGGATTTGTTTAATAGTTTCCTGCATAAAAATCTAGTTGGCTTTGCAAGTGCTGCAGAACTTCTGCCTCAACCTAATAGTTGGCGCGACTGGTTTTGCGTCGACCTCGCTCTTTCCCTGTCTACCCTATCCTATCGAGTTTCTGTTGGACGATAAGTAGGACAAAACTGGACGCGAGAACCGGACGCGCGCGCATGACCTTCAGCTGACCAATCAAGTTTAGGCATGATGCAGTCGGCTACCTTGAGCTTAGTCATGGGGAAATGCTGACCCGCCACCTTCAGTGAAGAGAGATGGAGTTCCCACAAAACATTCAGCAGTAAGTTTTACTCACTTGGCTTAAAGCTCATAGAAAAGAGGGTGGCCTCCTTGACATTGTCAGTCAGGGAGCCATCCGAGCGAAGGTAGCGTCCGGACTGAGAGCGGATGGCGACGCGACTAAGACGGCAAACGGTAGCTTCGGAGAGGGAGGCGCCCTGACCAGCACGAGATGACATATTGGGCAACGGCAGTTGCTCCAGCCAAAGCAGGTATTTTTTGCTTGTTGGAGCCTTCTGCACAGCTCGCAGTTCTGAATCCTTATTGGCACTGCGGATGTAATGATTGCGGTGCATGCTCAAAAGGTGGACCTGTGTGGGGAGAGGAAAATACGAAAATGATTAGCATTTATAAAACAATACGCAAGCAAATTGGGGAAATTGGGCTGGCCTTTGGGGACGGCAACCATTCGTCCATTTACTTCGCGAACGATGTGCCTCACTTTGAGACGAAAAACTGCAACCAAATAGTAAAATCCTTCATGAGAATACTGCACCATCAGTCAGCAGGTAAGTTAGTCATTTGGTAGGCACACCACTAGAGAAACTGAGACTGCTGAGAGAAGACATTGTCGAGGTAGCTAATTACCAAGGCAAACTCAGAAGTTTTATCAAGTCGACTCCCCTCCTCCCGGTATCCGCCGGGGGGACTAAGGACCACAGTTACGCCTGAACAGATGAAAACCGCGAATACTTGAGACTCCTCTAGAAACGGTTATGCCATAGTAGTGGATAATTGTACACCAATATGTTTCAGGAAGTACATCCTGAAAAAGATCGGTGTACAGTTGCTCACTACCATATATACTCCCGATCACAAACCGACAAGACAGCAGACTCGTGGATCAATGGTTAGGGCGTTTGCCTCTGACCGGAGAGACGCGAGTTCGAAACTCAAGTGTGGCGGGAATTTCCGCTGTTACACTAGAGTTGGGTATCCCCAGCTGAAGACGGCAAATAAGCCAGAAAAGGCCTTCCTGGGAGTCCCTCTGTCTTGGTCGATAACACATAACGCTTAGAACAGCGTATTTTAATGCTCAAACACCAAATACACCTTAAATCTCATCCTAAAGCACTTTACTCTTATTTAGAATTCATCTTGCAACATTGACCTTAAAGATATATGCCTTCAGCTAGGCCTAAACAAGTCTGGAATTGTTACTTTTACCAAGTGGATAACTTATCAAGTTGTGCCTATATTTAAGTAGGTCTCTGTGCTTACAGTAATATGAATATTTGAAAATTAGCAAATTATTTGTTATCATGAAAAAAAGTAGACTTAGTTACGAAATTAAATGAAAATAACTTGCGAAAATAGAAGAGATGTGAATGAATGAAAACGTTCGCGTTCCGCGTATTTGTATGAAAAAAAAGATCTGGGACTACAGAACCGCGAATAGGCGGGAGTCGACTTTATTCTCTCGAGGGATCAAAGGCCACTTGAAAAATGCCAGCATATTGAA